AGTACAGCCTGGTGGAGAGCCAGGCGGCCTCACGGCGGGGCAGCTGGGACAGCCTGCAGGACCCCAATGACAGGCTGGACAGCATCTCCGTCGGTAGCTACCTGGACACGTTGGCTGATGACATGGATGAGTATTCCCAAAATACTGCTGAAAACGCCGCCGCATCTGTGCCAGGCAGAGCCCTGGTCAGGGCAGAGCAGGATTGGGTCAGGATCGACCCCGAGAGGGGTCTTGCAAAGCAAGAGAAGGGCAAAGCGGAGCACGAGTGGCCCCACGTGGACCTCTCCCCACCTGGGCTGCCCCAGGATCACCGGTTTGCAAAGGAGCCCCAGGTGGCCAATGGGTATTTGGGCCAGCAGCCTTCCTCTCTGGAGGCACCAGGCAGAGACACCAAATTGCTGTTGGGGGCAGAGGAGAGGCTGGGGAAGGGGAACGCAGGTGGGAAGGCTCGGAAAGCTGAGGCTGACTTCGAGAACTGCAAACTCAAAAGCAAACTGCACCTGGAGTACGATGCCCACTGGCGCTGGCTCCAGTCTCAGGATGACGTGACATTCTTGTAGCCTGTGGCTTCGCCTTCCCAGTCCAGCTCTCCAAACTGCCTGCTCTGCTTCACTTGTCTCTGCTTGGGAGAGCTGGGGTGGCTGGGGAGGGTGACGGGCTGGCTTGGTGGTGTTGCACTGTTCCTCTGACCCCCCTGTCAGGATGGGGTGCCTGCCCTGTGGTGAATTTCTGGAATAGACAGAATGAGATGGATCCCCATAAATTTGATTCTTTGCTCTGGGGTGTTGCGTGCAGGTGGCTGGTTGCTCCTCTGTTGTCCTTGATGTTGGTGGCAGGGAAAGGTTGGTGAGGAAACCTGGGACAATGGGACTCCTGGGACCTCTCCCCTCTAATCCTCAGCCTCCTGTCTGCAAAAACTGGGGACCCTTCCCCCAGGCTGGTTACCCAGAGAGGACAGGAGATGCTTCTACACATTCACAGCTCGCTGGCACCAGCACGCTCGATGCGAGCTGTGAGGCAGGACCATCAGCAGGGCATCCCTGTTGGATGTGCTCATTTCCATCATCATCTTCAAGGCCACTGTTCATCCAGGTTAGAGTTGACCTGGGGTACCTGGCTGCATGGTGGATGCTAAAACCCCCTTCCCAGCTGGTGAAGCCCTGCCTGGTTCAAACACCTCTGTGAAGCTGATCTGAAGCGTGATCAGGGCTGTCACCATAATTGCTCCTGTTGGGCCGGGGAGCCTTCATCTGTGACCTGTGAAGGAAGGATGATGGTGCAGACTTCCCTTCCCCATGTGATTACATGAGAAGGGCAAAGCACTGGGTGGGAGATGGAGATCCAGTTGTCCCAGTGTGTTTCTGGACTGTCTCCCATCTGAGGACCAGGTCCTTCAGAAACCCCAGGACATGGCAGTATACAGGCAGCCTGGTAGAGCCTGTGGGGCTCAGACTCCAGAAGGCTTGTGCTTTCCCCTGATGCAGTGTGATGGGGGTCATGGCCTGGATGCTCAATGAATGATGCCAGATTTCTGCCTGCTACCAGCAACCAGAAATGTGAGACTCTCTGCTGGGATGGATTTGCAGCGACCCTACACTGGTGACATCTTTTCTGTCCTTTAAGCCTTGGCTTCTGCCTGTGCCTTTTTCTGTTCACCCACCATGCCTCAGCGCACCCCTTGCTGGCTTGTAGAGCATGGCTTGCAGCTGGAGCTGTCTGCAAGCCTGGGCAGGACCTGCTCCCTTCACCAGACGATGCAGGGAAGGACCTGGGCATCCCCTTCAAGGAGAGGGGCTCTTCCACATGCGTGGACAAGCCTGGAGGGTCCTGGCTTCACAACCCACGGATGCATCTGTCCCTGGCCAAGTGCTGTGACAGCTTTGCTTTTGCGTAGGTCACAACCTGGCTCTTTGCTGGGGTGGTGGGAGTGGGGACAATGTCTTCTGAAGTCAATGGGAAGCCAAGAGAGAGGGAAGACCTGGCTGTGACTCTTTCTAGATGTGAGATGTGAGCTGACTATGGTTAGGAAGGTGGTCAGGTGCACGACAGGTTCAGCTTTGTGTCTCTGAAGCAGCACCTTCCGTGAAAACTACCCTCCATGCCAAGACGCCTAACCACCCTCCCTTCCCCTGCAGATCCTCAAGGCTTCCCTGTATGGACATAGAGAGCAGGACAGTGTCTGGGATTCCTGGAGATGGCACCTGCCAAGGACTTGGGGGAATCCCAGCAAACTGGGACCAGGTTGCCTGACATGAGCATCCCATCTGCCTGCCCCATAGCAGCCGTGCTTGGCTGGCCATCGCCTGTGAGCAGCTTGTGGCTCCCTGCGTAGCTCCACCGCGGCTACTGAGCCACTATGTCCCCCAAGGCTGGCTGTCCCCCGCTTTCCTTCTAGCCCTGCATGCAATGAATCAGCTGAGGGTCCCGGGGGGAGACGGGGTAAGTCCTCCAGCGCTGTTAAAATCATTCTTGACAAAAAATAGCTGGCTTAATAAATGGTAGCGTTTCTCCCAGGCCACGCTGTCGGTGCTTTGCTGAGCTTACAGGGGTTTCTAGGGGAAGGGGAAAGGCTCCGGTTTGAAATGCCCTGGAGCTGCTGGCAACTTTTCAGGCAGGGCAGGTTTAGCCCCCTGTCCTGAAACAGGCACAGACCACATGTCCAGGGATCTGCCCCTTCTCACACCAGGGTGATGATGCCTAAAATCACACTTTTTGAAGCAGCTGGGTACCAGAGCATGTCTGCCAGGAGCGAGGATGCTGGTGAGACTGGATCTCTGGGAAGTGGGGCATATTGAACTCAGCTGAATTTAATCTCTAGCTATGGATGGCAGCTTCACCCTTCCTGCCCCAAATTTCCAGGGGAGATCTTGCTTGGATGTGTTTGCTGGTCCTGTTAGTCATGCTGGGGTCTCCATTTGCTTCCCTTGTTCTGCCTCCTCCACCCAGGACATGCCTGAGGAGTCTGGGTGTAGGGCAGAGACTTCTCTAGCCCAGCCCAGGGTGGGAGCAGCCAACAACTCTGATTTCAGGCTGCTGGGATTTGCTCCTGGGTGGGTCCCTTTAAAACCACTGGAGCCGGTGCTCATGCAAACATCAGGCTTTCCAAAGCAAACGCAAGTGGCTTATCCAGCCCTGCCATCCCGGCCTCAGCATCCGATCCAGCTCCTGGCTTGGAATCTGTGAGCTTTTGCAGATGGAGAGGTGGATGCTGGAGCCAGCAGGACTGGGCAGGATTTCCCCATTTTCTGTTGGGCTGAGGTAAGGTAATAAAATAAAATGAAGAAAATTTTGGAAACAAAATGCCCAACCCCTTCCTCTTCCAAACCTAGACCTCTGTGGTTGGACAGCTCTGTATCCACAGATGAGCCTTTGCTGGGGCTCCCCTGGACATGAACTCTTCAGCCTAGCTTACAGTTGCCCATAGCCCCCAGATCTGGGTGTCCCCTAGATCCCAGCCCTTGGAGCTGGAGGGATGGATGAGATCTCACAGTTTTCCTGCCATCCCCTGCCCTGTCTCTGGGCTGCCTGGTCAAGGGGTCACCCACCTCTAGGTTTTGCCCAGGCACATGCAGAGCAAATGTGTCCCAAACCCACCCTGGGGAAACACCCCAGGGACCTCAGCCTTGCTGAAAGGTGGGTGCAGCAATGGGGTGCAGAGCACCCATGGGTGGGAAACAGCCCGCAGAGCAGATCCACAGCCCCTCTCCTCACGCTGCCCAGCGAGGAGCAGCTGCCTGGCCCTGCCTGCGGCTGCCCTTGCACTGCTCTTGGGCTGTTCAGCGCCGGTGTCAGGTAAGAAAACAAGCAGCTAAAGCAGGCAGGATCCCAGCCAGTGCCAGAAAACACCCGCCTCTGTTACAATAAAAACACCAGCAAGCCATTTTTTTTTTAAAGATATACACAGAGATTAGACTGTTTTAACAAGGCAGTAAAACACTTTAATAGCTCCCCTTGCTTAGTTATTAAAAAGTCCTCTGAGCTTTCCCCTCCCTGTGTGCAGCTTGGCTCCAAAAGGGCCTGTCCCCTGAGTCCTGCAGCCATTTAAGCAATTTATGTTTGTCCCTGCGGGGAGGCAGCGTGAAAATAACCTTTTCCAGGGGAGGTAGGAGCCTGGTCCCCATGGTCCCAGGGGAGGTGGTATCCAACCCCTCTGCCAACAACCGTGGCCTTTGGTCTGGCAGTCCCGTGGCCCCACACAACCCTGTGGGCTTGCTGGTGTGGGGTACATCACCATGGGGTGACCCGGGGAGCGGGTGCAGGGGATGTGTGCGTGCAAGTGCAGCCTGTGGGGCCAGATCCTGACAGCCCCACCCTCCTCGGGGCCGGAGCGGGGATGCTCCTTCTTGTCCCTTGTACCATTCCCTGTGCATTGCTCAGGTGCTGGGAGGAAAACTGTGCAATGGGGCTGCTCTGCAATGCACTCATTGGGCTGTGCACAAGCACCAGCTCGTCTCGAGGCTTGTCTCAGACACCCACTGCTGAGATGAAAAGAGAAGAAAAGGCCCAAGTGAAGCAAGTGTAACCTGGGGCTGATGGCATCCTGTTCTCCGGTTCCCCTGAGCTGAGGGCTGTTTGCAGAGTGACCTGCCTGAAAATCAAGCCCCTCGAGAGAAAGTTTTCAGCCAGAGGGGTGTGATGAAGTGACCCAGTGACACCAGTGGCAGTGGAGGGGTGTCCCCAGCCCTTGGGGAACAAAGCTGGAGCGCGAGCCAGGAGCAAGCCGAGCCTTTGGGCAAGGTCTCTCTGGGTGTTCCCTGCCCAGGCTGGAAACGGGCCAGGCCTTTGCTTTGGAGACTAACCCTCCAGCTTTAGAGCTTCCCAACGCTTTGTGGGAGTGAAAAACAAGTGTGACTGCTCCGAGCCCTGTGGGCAACCGAGCACGGATGGGTGATGAGGACAGGCTTGTGGACACTGGGTGCCAAAAGGGAGCGGTGGCACAGCTTTTCCTTTCCTATTCCCTGGGTGGTGTGTCTCTGTATGTCTCTCTGTCCATCCATCTCCAGCAAAGTGCTGCAACTGGGACTGGGTTGCAATGCTTGTGGCCCTCCAATGCCTTCTGCAAAGGGATTTCGAGCCCAGAACCAGCTCCAGCCAGGATCTGTGCCCTAGGAGAGAGTCAGTGCTGGGAACAGAAAGGGTTTGAGGCAGTTTTTGGGCTGCTGCCCCCATTTCAAAGGCTCAGCCCTGGGTGTCGGAACAGGAGGGTGCAGGTGGTGTGAGCAGGGGGAGTTAGAGTTGCTACAAAAAGCAGCAGCTTCTCTCAACCCTGCTTCCTAAGTAGCTTAGGGGAGGAAAGAGGAACTTGAAGAGCAAACTCCTGCACTGAAGAGGTGCAGAGACTGGAGCAGTCAGAGCAGCCTGGCACCCTCATCAGCCCCCTTCCCTCTCACCATCCCCCAAAAGCTCCCCTGGGTAAAGCAGCCCCCGGTGCCTCTTCCCATGGACTTTCATCCTGTGTTGGTTGGCCAGACGCTTGTCCCCTGCTTGGAGCAGGTGGGGGACAAGAAAAGGGCTGGGGTTGACAGTCCAGCCTGGAGTGGGGGTCTTGGTGAGTAAGAAGAGAGGTGGAGGTTGCTTCCCCATTTGTACCAGCCCCCAAACAGTTCTCCCCTCCCCAGATTAGATGGAAGAGCAGGAAAGCAGA